ACCACCACCACCCCCGCTACCTCCAACAGCACCGCCGTTATTCAACCCCCGAGTCAAAATTTAACTCTCCGAATACCCTGCGTTCACTCGAAATTCTTTGAAAGAGCATATGCCGCCGTACTGTGCACCCTGCTTATAACCTATTTAGACTCTACTTTAAGGTTTTGTCATGAAAAAATCACTCCTGGGACCCTCCTCAAACTTCCTCTGACTATGATCGAACCTCCATTTAATCTCGTTACAATTCATAGCTTGTGCGATGATTTCACGTACCCTCCGTAGGCGTCCTAATATTCCGCGCTCACTCCGCAGACTCTCCGTACGCGTCCTAATGTTCCGCGCTCACTCCGCAGACTCTCCGTACGCGTGTCATGTGTGCTTTCCGTTCACCCTCCCTACAATTCGACGTAGGCATTTATTCCCGTAAGCCTCCGTGGACCCTCTATAGAACCTTCGAAATACTTTTTTCTAAAACTTCGATAGAGCCTCCGTACACTCTATTCCCGTAAACTTCCGTGTATCCTCTGTAGAACCTATAATTGTCTATATGTTGCCGACGTTGCCGACCCATCCGTTGAGTCGCTCTGCGCGCATGGCGCGAGAAAGTGCGTTTGACAAATGATAACCGCCGCGCGCGGGCCGCGCGGCAGCAGCGGTGTGCTAATTCGCGCGAGCTTTGCTGTTGCTGTTGCTATACGTGCCCTTGCCAAGACCTCCAGTGATACCGGTATATTCGATCCTCGGGCGCCGGTGATGAGCTCCATCGTGCGACACAGTCGCACGTCGTCACGTAAATCGTGTCGTATATTCACCGGCTGGCCGGGAATTTTCACGCAGACTCGCAATATATGTCCTAAGAAAGGACATCGCAAGAATTTTCGTCACATCTCTAAGGTAAGTAAAAGTAATATTAAGAATTGAGTGTTCCTCGGATACAATAGTGACAGCAAAATATTATACGCCACAACATTGTACAGATCGAGAAGTGCGTTTTAATATATGCTACCGTCCTTCGATCTCCAGCGGCAAGAGGTCGATGCCGATGTAGTTGCTTCGTGCGATTTATTTTTATTTTTGCAATGGATACTGTGCCATTTATCATTGCTAAGTTATAATTTTTGGTTTATTTAGATATTATTCGTACACATACATAATGCCGAAACCCAAGGTAAAGGAGCAATGAGCTGCTATAATTTGGAAATCGAAAAACAGCGAGAAAATAAAGAAGGGAGAAGCTAGCCTCTGTGACATTGTTGATCTCACTTGCGTGCCGAAAAAGTATCGCACAGAAGGCTGTATTGCGTCTCTGAAGTGGGTAGACACATCGACAGGTAAAACATCGTTTTGTTTTGACTAATTTTGACTAGCAAGACAGTTAAAATTTTTATTTAAGATTTTGGACTGAAGTTTGGACGAAACTAATAATGTACTAGAGAACCTTGTACTAGAGAACCTTGTACTAGAGAAAATCGATTTTCTCTAGTACAAGGACCGGGAGAACTACCTTCACAAATTATTATTCTTGAATATAACTTATAAAATCAATCAATGTTACTTAATTCATTTATCTTGAAAATTTTATTTGGATTTGTCATTCTGTAATTGTATTATTAAACAGTAAAAGTAAACGTATTCTGGTACATATAGAAGATTCCCTGGTAGACATTTATCTTTATTGAACTTTTATCTCTATCAGAAAAATGTGTACTTAAAGAGCTATTCTAATCGTAGTGTTATTTTAGGTGATAAAAAGGCTCTGGAACTATTATGATGTAATAGATTATTTTTTTTCAGTTATTGCAGTTACTAATTTTTGCTCTATTTAAAAAAGTATATAGTCTTATTATTAACCATGTTTTCTTTTTTCAGTAACTGAAACAAACATCAGGTTCTTTGAGACAGTGGTTACCGCGATGAAGTCGACGTATATACCTGAAAATATTGAAGCTTCAAAGGAATCTTCTTTCAAGGTAATATTGTTTTTTTAAATAAAAACACAATGTAAGATAGAAAATACATTAGAAAAACTTTTATTTTGCCAGTAAATAATTAACCATAAC